ATCAACCAACCTTCGTTCTTACTCTTGACATTTTATCTTCATCTCGGGAATCGGAGACAGAATCACAAGATACTTCTCTTTCGCTGTGGCGGGTGAACCTATTACAGCAAAGGATTTTTGTTAATGCAGTATGGCAGTTTCAATGATTGATAGGTGAAATTAGACTAAAAACAACATGAAAAAGATTTACTTCGGTGGATCTACTCCATTGGGAAGCATCGTAAACTTCGCGATGGTTTTCGATGGATTCTCAAGATAGCTCAAGATGGATGCCATGAAGGGAAGCAAATCGCAAGCAGTCTAGATAAAACAATTTCCATAATCACCAATAATCTCATTGCAACCAACCGATTTACTTCCACACTGAAATTCGCCACGTTCCACTTGACTCAAAGCGAACTTTAGATATAATTGCAGTCCTTTCTGGCCAAATATTTCAACGGCCTCATACTGTTTTAGGGACTTGAATTGCTGTGGTAATATGACATAGTACATCCAGCGCGAATAGAAGAGACGATATTGCACGCGATCAATTTTTGGTACTTAAATAGGATAGAATTTGAAAAATGTAAAAAAAGAATACCTTCTTACCAATCTCATGGTAAACTGTTGGAGAAGGAATTTTCCACGTGTTCATTAGTGACAGCAATTTAGAAGAAAGGTGAAGATTATGTTGTATTTCCTTTGTACTAAAATCGAGGATAAACTTGAATGAGAAGTAAATTGAAGTTGGATTTATAGATAGAATTGTGTGAAAGGCTTACTCAATAAACTCCGTAGACTCCGAAGCAGAAGCAAAGTTTGTAACAATGTTGTATGCTGAACTACTTTCAAACTTGGGAGATCCAAACGGTACATCTATACTAGTGTTCCACTTTTTCAGTGCGCTGAGAAATAGTTGAAAAATTTGATAGAGTATCTGAAACGACTTCCATCTGTAAGCCATAACAATATCTTGAAACTGACAAAATAATATAAGTCGTTTCATTACATGTAATTCGTCTGTGTCTTCTGTTGTGGACATTCGGCTATGCAAGTCATGAGTGTCGTTTGCTAACTGTATTAGCTTTTCTTGGTCTGCTTTAGTGGGTCGAACAGAATGAGCAGCATGTGCATCTGAAAAATAGCTTGAATTTCGATATTTACTTGAAGGTAAAAATTGTTAGGGCA